CCTTTTTCCTTTTCACACCAATCTATATTACAGCAGCAGACAATATCTGACTTATAGCACAAACGTTTTCCCAATGCCCCAACATAGTAGGAAGAATTCTTTTAATTTTAATTAATTCTTTTAATTACTATTTCACGTAAGACTATGTAGAGGTGTTACAGGATACACCCCCGTATACAAACATTCGAATAATGAATGCTGCTTTTCCCACTGTTGTTATGAATTTTTACAACACACAAAAAAGCCTTTTTAGAGATTAGGTCAGCAAACACAAAAATTGAACAGAACACTAAAAGTCTAATTCCTTAAGATTTACATCTGTACACAATGCGAATTCTAACAAATCTAATAAGTAGCAGATTTAACTATCTATTTTTCTAATCATATTTCCAGAGGCTGAAGCCCAACAAATATTTAACTAGCATGAATCATTTTTCTCCTCCATTCTTTGGGCAGAGCATTTTAATCTGATAAACAGAACAGAAAAAACCCAGGAAGAGATTCATTTGTGTTGCAAAATGGTTATACAAATGTCAGCTATGTATTTAAAGAGCAACACAGGTTCTTCTTATTCACTCTCATTAACTTCTGTGTACACACTTACATTGTGGGTAGCATGGTCCTCTACAGACCTTTTAAGGATGATGAAGACATTACTTGATATGTAAAATTAAGCATGTTTTACAGAGATGGTTCCTTTTTGTGCCACAGAGTGAAACAAAAATGTCACCACTTGACATATGGGGAGGTTTACCCACGGTGGCTAAAGGCCTCCCATCATCCGTTTATATGCCATGTACACAAATGGCCCTCATTTTTACTGCTTACAGAAGCTTATGTGTCTACAGCTCACGTCACTCAGATAAACTTTTATTTAACTGGGCAAATGTCACGTTTGGTGGCATCATAGTTCATGTAATTGTCAAAATCTGCTCGAATACGGAAAGGCTTTAAAAGTATCTCCACATACAATTTCAAAAGTGTAACTACAGTCATTTAAATATTAAGCATATATGAAAATCAATACAAACTCAAATTCTTTTTAATAAGTATCTATTCCGGTCTCCATACAAATAACATACTATACTCACACTCATATAAAAGATTTCACATCCACACCTATGACTTAATGATTAAGAGCACAGCCAGACAGCTGGAGTTTGAACCGAGCTGTGCCCCTTACGAGCCCAGGAACGTTATTTAATCCCTCTACACCTCAGTTTTCTGTACTATACACTAGGGATAATGATGTCTACCTCATAGGATTACAAGGATTAAATAAGTTGGGCTGGCCCAGTGACGTAGTGGTTAAGTTCACGCGCTCCACTTCGGTGGCCCGGGGTTTGCAGGTTCGGATCCCGGGTGCGTACCTACACACCGCTAATCAAGCCAAGCTGTGGCAGGTATCCCACATATAAAATAGAGGAAGATGGGCACGGATGTTAGCTAGCCCAGGGCAATCTTCCTCAGCAAAAAGAGGAGGATTGGCATCGGATGTTAGCTCAGGGCTAATCTTCCTCATAAAAAAAAAATAAAATAAAATAAGTTAATTTAAGTAGAGTGCTAATAACAATGACTGACACGTGGTAAATAAAGCACACTATGCCTTGTGGTTTCCATGGTTATTATTATTGTGGTCGTCATAATTACCACTATTATTATTACTATTGCTGCTGCTGCAACTATTACTACTGTGTCTACCAAAATATATTTCCTTTAAGATCTCATGTGACACAGGATTAACCAGAAACTTCTTTCTGAGGCAACTCTTACTATCAAAATCATTCCAAAGTAAATTCTCTCACTTTCCTGCTCAAAAGCTTGGGTTAAACTTAATCTTTATTTGAACATGAAAGATCTTAAGGTGACTCAGGATCATTATCAACATAAATAATCACTGCATTAGGCTGGGGATAGATAGGAGATTGGGCTAAATGTTTACTGGCTCTAGAGCATTCCTTAAAAATGGGCCAGTGTGTACACGTGTCGATGTTTAAACATGGACCTCATACAAGATTGGTTTTTCTATTTTCCTCTCGATTCATTAAGAGATGGGGTTGTTGTTGTTAAGTTAGCAGGCTGATATCTAATTCTGATGAATAAGTGTCACACTCATTTGATTAAGGAGAACTATGTCAAATCATAGTCTGAGTTTATCTCCTTATGTTTTAATACTTCAAAATAAAGAAGGATAAACCACAAGCCATCATGGAACTTAAACGTATGTGACATGAAAAAAAAATATGAAATGCTTTGTCTTAGGTTCCTTGGAGGAAAAAGGATTTAGAAATACAAAATATTCGTCATTACTACTAGTCTAGGTGTCCAGAAAATAACCCTCTTTCTCCTCATGCCAAACAGCAACGTGCCCAGCTAAGGAATCTTCTATTATCACACTGAAACTGTCTCTTCCAAAAGACTAAAAACAGCACACGCACCTCATTAAATACCAGTGCATTTGACCACAGTCTTACTTTCAAGAAGAAGACAGATCACAGAAAAATTATTTGGCTATTTTTAAATATTTAAAGAAAAACAGAACTTCTAGCTTCCATTGTATATAAGAAGAATTGCTTGAAATACCTCCATAAACATATGCTACAGCATTAAAGGCTATTAATTTCACTGGAAATGAATCATGAGGTACCAAAATGTCTGCACATTCAATCAGTATACATTTCCCATAAAAAGGGGAACTATTTGCATGCATCCTGAAAATACATTTTCCTTAAACAAAATTTGAAATGTGCCAAGTAGATGGAATGGACAGATTTTTCTTCCAAATACAACGAAGTTAAATAAAACTAGGTTTCTTCAGCAATATATCACTTCACAGATTTTTCTCTCTCCACCACACAGAAGAAAATACTTTATCTCTCCAGAAACAGAGCTGAAAGGCAGAGTTCAGTACCAAAACCCAGGCCAAGGAGGTGCTGGAGAAGCTTTTAAGGAGCCGTGATGGAGACTGTTCCATAAACCCTGCTTGAAGCTGAAGGTTAACAGTAGCGTCACCATCAATAAGTGCAAATCACACCACTGGCAGTCTCTTACCCACAGTTTATGAAATGTCTCAAGGACAGAGTGAGGTGATTGTGTTGAGACGATGTTCAACACAGATGCGCTGTTTAGATGCAAAGAGCCCATCTCATGCCAACCAGCTGAATTTGAAGTTGTGCTGACTTAGACGTAAATCTTATTTGAGTAAGCTAAATACTGAATACGATGTCAAATAAATCATGAAATCCTACAGTCTCGGGCAACACAGGAGGCATCTTCCTTATCTGTGTTCACTCAACAGAAAAGAGTGGTGACAGGAAGTGGGGAGGGCATGGTTTGCTTTTCTGAGTATTTCGGCCCTGGACAACCCCCCGTCACATCTGCCCGTTCATCAAGTGATAGTCCTGGCTGCCTCACTGTCCCCAATGTCAGTAGTCTCTGCCCATATTTCTTGCCCTGACAGCTTTTCCATCTCTGATATAGTCTACAAGAAGAGATATGATGACTCAGCCTAAGTGTGCTGTATGCGAATAGACCATGGAAAAGATCTTTAAAATATTTACCTTTGCCAGAGAAAACGTAGTTTCCGTTTATCTCTATTCCCCTTAACACTGCCACCTTGGCAGTATTGATTATTACAAGACGAGTGATTTTCTGGTTTTTAATCATTACTGGGCATAGTCTCTGATCTTTATACAGTCCTCCTCCCTCAGTCAGCTGGTTTATTAGTTAAACAAATATTTATTCAGTGCCTACAATGTGTCGGGTATTGTCCAATGTACCATAGTCCTTGACCTAAGGTCACCAGCAACCAGCTATAGTGAATAAATGGTTTTGAAAAATTCAACTGCATAATATTTGGGTTTGCATCATTATCAGATTAATAGAAATGCCTGGGTGAGCCTGCCCACCCACTCAGCTAGAGGTTCCAGGGGTCCAGCTGTCCCATTCAGATCCGTTCTTTCCTGGCTGGATACAGCAGAATCCACGGGGTGGGAGTCATCAGTTCTGAAATAAATATCACTGGGAATAACTTTGGGTCATGTCTAGCTACAACTTCCAGGTCAGAAGCAAAAACTCCAGGAATCACCCCATTAGCCGCCACTCAGCTGGGGAGACAGCCAGGAGAACACCGGGGATTTGGGGCCTCATTTCTCTCTCTTTCCCTGACCCCAAAAGATTGAGCTTCTTGCCTCCATGCACTCTTCCCCCCACCACCACCAAAAGTTAAGAAATGCAGCCACTCCCCATTTCAGGGTGAAGGATGGGCACCAACAGCAATACCTTCTATGTTCATTACTGAGGGGTTTACTAAACTTTCCTGAATGACACCCTTGAGAAAAGTACAACAATATAATTTCATGATCAAGTCCACTGGGTGGATCAGCTGAAAAATGTTGCTTGTAAACGTTATTCTCCAAATGCACTATTCTTTCTTTTTATGACTCAAGTGTCACAGGATAGGTCAAAGTATCTAACACAGAATGGAGATGTTGGAACTGGATACAAGATTTTCTTCCATGTGTCAAGTACAGTGTGATTGTTTAGCTGGGTTCTACAGAGCACCCTCTTCAGTTGTAACGCAACAAAATACCAAACACGTTATCGGTTACTGAGGACTGGACTTCTTGCTTGTTTTCCTCTGACTACTCTTACCTCTCTTTCCATCCATAGTAGCACATGTCGGATGGATTTCAATCAAGTGACAATATATTTCTAGACAATTAATTCTGGAAACAAGCAATTGCTGAAATTTTGGAAACATGTATCATGAGGCTACAAATAAAATAGCCAGGACCTGATCCCTTCATGGAGATGATTATTTGTTGTTCTACTTGGGATAGTCTTAGTTAACCACACATTCTAAAATTCTAACCTCTGCTATCTGCTAAAGGACTGTGGAGCTTACACAGCCCAGAAAACGATCTCAAAGCTTCTTTCTAATGCAAGTTCACACTTACACCTGAAACACTATCAATTTCAGAAAACACAGGAGTACTCACTTGTTTGGCCCTGGTCTTTGTGATGGTGTCAGAAATAGGTTTCTTCCTCTCCTTTACAGCAGTTTTAGAAAATAATTCTTCAAATTCATGACAATCTATGGATGGCTCTTCAATTTTTTCCCAAATAAGTGAAATACTGGAGTCTCTAAAGGTAAGCAAAAGACCAATGAAAGAGCCATCACTCTGAACTACCAGATCTCGTGGTGGGTATAAACAGAAAGGAAGAAGGGAAGGAAAGAGGCAATAGAGGGAAAATGGATGAGAAGAAGTCAGGAAGGAAGGAAAGGAGGAGGCCTGGGAGAGAGGGAGGGAGGAGGCAAACAGGGGGACGGGATGGAAAAAGGAGGGAGAAATTCAACTGAAGAAAAAGGACCAAAGAAAATTCTTTTTCTTTAAGACCAGCAATTGTTTTATCACCTTGATGAGAAAGTTAAAACACCATCGATATAGAATGAAACCTTTGCCTAGCAATAATAATTTCCAGGAATTCTCAGTTATCAAGTCACTGTATAAAAACAAAAAAGGAAAACCTCTCTCAGTACATACTATACAGGCAGGAAATGTTTGATATCTCACAACCCCAACTTGACTCATTGCAGATTATTCATGGGTTAAGAAAGAAATCATTTCATGATCCAAGACAGCCTCCGCCATCTCCCTACCACTTCCCATCATCCACTGTTATCTGACTTCTCAGTGACTGCAGATTCATATAATACCACCTGAAAAGGGCAGATCCATAAAAATTTTTTTAAAAAGGAAAAGATCAACAAAAGAACTTCATACTATTTATGTGGATAAAAAGAGTGTGGGGCACGATTTGAAGCGATGCACCAGCATATATAAGGGACATGGCAACTATACAGAGAGTGAGCTGCAAAGTTAGAAGTAGTCAAAATAGATCGATTCTTCCCCTCAATGTGATTCAGTAAAGAAAAAATTAATATAAGAAATGAGAATGAGCCTGGTAGATATCCTATTTTCCTCAGTGCACGCCACCTCACACAAAAAAATTCAAGGAACCATGAAAAGTTAGAATGAGGAAGGCCAGTGAAGTTTTGGTGTGTGTTTTTTCTCCCAGTGGCACATTCCACAGCCACGTTATCACAGCACCGTCCCCAGGATCAGGGGACGTAGGCTATGGACTCTTCATGGACAAGTGATAGCCCACCAGCTTAGCCAGAGGGAGGTGTCCTTTTATAAATATCATTCCAACTATGATTTTACGACTTCAGGCTGTGTCACCAATCCTCTATGGAAGTGCCATGAAATTCTCAAAACTAAATTGTTTCACACACGGCGGGTGTATGCATGTATTTTTGTGTAGCACTTTCTAGAAAGACCACTGCAAACAAAATGGAAGCACAAAACAAGATGGTGCCTCCCTAAGGATTCAAAAAACATTCTCAGGTGTCAGTTTGTCTAAGGATTTGGTTTACATTTATAAGCTATTTGTCAGAGTGAGGTTCTGTAAGAGGCAACAGAGCATGTACGCTAAGAAAAATACACTCCTCTATCTTTAAAAGATGGATCGATAACTATACAGACAGATATCTGTACATCTACATTCATACATATGTCATTTGTTTTATCTCTTTGATACTTCTGGAGAAAAGTCTAAAATTTTAAATAACACATTGCTTCAATATTGCTTCACTAAATATTGATGTAAAAATCTACAGTTTTAGAGCAATACTTAAAAATACATTCAGTTGTAATTTTCCCAAGAGTTTTAATAGAAAACGCTTCACTCGCATTGACCACCTGTGCAAAGACGAGCTCTCGTTCCTGTTACCTTTTACTGTGGAGCTGAATTCTCGTCCAATACAGAGGCTTCATGGGCCGACAAGGCTCTATGGGCTGCTTCCTACTCCCTCTGTCCTGGTTCATCCCTAGTCCAAACAAGCCAGTTGGCAACGGAGGAGGAAGAAATCCGCACACTTGTGGTGTTGATAAAGTGCTGCCCCCAGCTTGTAGGGGGAGTGGAGGGCCTGATCCGGGAAGCAGGGGTGGTGGTGGGGGTAGGGGGATGCCTGTTCCAGGAGGGGGAGGGGGAGCTGGAGCAGGTGGAATCCCCATACCTGGCAGAGGAGGAGGTGGGGGAATCCCAGCTCCTGGCAAAGGAAGGGGAGGAGGTATTCCCACAGCGGGAAGAGGAGGGGGAGGAGGTATTCCCACACCAGGAGCGGGAGGGGGTATTCCCACACTGGGAAGAGGAGGGGGAGGAGGTATTCCCACAGCGGGAAGAGGAGGGGGAGGAGGTATTCCCACAGCGGGAAGAGGAGGGGGAGGGGGTATCCCCATACCAGGAAGGGGAGGGAGAGAAGGTATTCCCACACCGGGAAGAGGAGGGGGAGGAGGTATTCCCTCACTGGGCAGAGGAGGGGGAAGAGGTATTCCCACACTGGGAAGAGGAGGGGGAGGCGGTATCCCCACACCGGGAAGAGGAGGGGGAGGGGGTATCTCCACACCGGGAAGAGGAGGGGGAGGAGGTATCCCCTCACCGGGCAGAGGAGGGGGAGGGGGTATCCCCTCACCGGGAAGAGGTGGGGGAGGGGGTATCCCCACACCGGGAAGAGGAGGGGGAGGGGGTATCCCCACACCGGG